ACACAGTCCATTAAAAAGTAAATGTGCACGAATCGAAGTAACTACATATCCTGCCTTTTTTCGTCCTAAATGTGCCCACCCGGAAAGGAGCCGAGCGCCCCGATTTTGGTGAGCCGACTGAATCCGCAACTATTATTATTATTATTATTATTATTATTATTATTATTATTTTGTGCTCTGTGGTATGAGACAAAATGCCAGAATTATCTACTTTTGGCGTGGGAATTCGACCCCTCTCTGGTTCTCCAATCACTTTCTTTCTGTAGAATTTTTGCATACTCCCATACTTTGGTTTTCTCGAGTTGTGTGGTCTGTGATGGCTGATGACCACGTTCCTTGTGTGGATTGTTTCCTTTTGCTCTAGTGTATTGTGACACAACGCCATCAGGGTCATTCAAAAGCTGATAAAAATGGCCTATGGTCCATCGAAAAATGTCATGTTAGTAATTTTGCAGTTTGTGACAAAAGAGTTCGTTTTTTTAACTGTAGAGAGACTGAGCCATCTCGTTTTAAGAGTACTGCACACTGGGGCTTACTCCTTACAAAAATGTTCCTCTCGTTTTAAATACGTACAAAACCATAAGCAAGACAGTCTAAAGTTTTATGCATCCAAATAATGAATGAACTGTCTTGTTGCTTTGAAACATTTGATGACTGTAAAAAATTGCAATTAGACTTTAAAAATCTTTTTAGACTTCGAAATGATACTTTTTAAACCTGCAGCTGTTTAGTTGCAACGATTTATTTCAAAATATTTTCTTTTGAATTATTGTCATTCGAAAGGGCTTTTTTTTTTTTTTTTGTCCATGTATTGATGTTTTATTTTGAATATTGTCATTCGAAAGTGCCTTTTTTTTTTTTTGGTCCATGTATTGATGTTTTTTTTTTAATATTGTCATTCGAAAGTGCTTTTTCTTTGGTTCATGTATTGAACCACAATTTTGCAATTGAGCTTTATCCTCATGTTAAATAAAGTACCCAAGGTAGCGCTTCAATTGAAACAAACATGAAAAAAAAAAATAAATCGTTATACGATCTTCCAATTACCCACTCGTCTGTTATATACATATGTACATGATCAATAATTCATTGCTTCCTGCAGTCTGCCTAAGCAACCCAACGACAGTGAGGCCGATATTGATTATGCCCACATATTTTTAAAATAACTTCATTAAACCAGTGTGTGGAGGGATAAACTGACGTGTTAGAACACGGAAATACAGGTAATTTTTTAGTCCATTACAAGGTGAGCACTGTTTCTCTCACACAATATCCGTGGTTGCCTTCTTAGAATCATGCACTGTCAGAAATGAAAAAGGGTTTAAGGCGATTTAACGTTCACGAAGGCTACTCGCACTGACCGTAATTAAGGAATTCCTTGCTGTAATGTAGGCCTGTATTAAGTATAGGCGTGGGTTGATTTGTAATTTTCATCATTATTTTCTTGGGTCTCGGTATACACCATTAACAAGCATATATAACTGACAGTCACTGTCAGTATAATGAGGCATTTTAATGACACCGGAAATAAGGGGTTTAATAAGAAAGGAGGACGCAGAACCACCACACACATCTGACAATTTTTTTCTCTTGAACAATCACGCTTTCGTATATTTCAGATTATTCAATATTTCAGACGTTCTCACTGAAAAAAAAAGAAAAAAGAAAGCGTCCTAGGAGACTAAAATTACAAATATTCCAGACGGTCAACGAAAAGAAGAAAATATGGAAGACAGAACTGATACTGTCTCACAAAGCGGTAATTTGCCAGAGAAGGCCGGACAGAGTGACATGCACATCGGCAACGTTGGATCCGGGGGAGAGGTAACTGGCGTTGAAGCAGACGACGTTCAAAGTGAGGAACAGAGAAAGCGTGACAAGGACCCACTAAGGTTTTGCGTACTCATAGTGAAACGCCCTCTTGTTGTGTTCTGTAAGTAGAGCTCATGTTTCAATGCACAATTAAAAAAAAACTTTTTTTTCAGAAAATTATCTCTAACTTAAATAACTTGTTTTTCATAAAGATAGGGGTAACCTAGCTCATCAGTTATATTTGGTTTATATGGAGTTTCCGATTTAATACCTCCGTACATGTAAGGTTTTACAGTTCTATATTGTTCTATATTCAATGGTCTGATCGATGCATTTGTACATGTAGGTTATATTGCTCTTGCAATAAAATGTAATGAGGATTTAGAAATTCTCCTTTTGGGCATGAAGTATCTATTACTCAGGTGTATTGAAATAGAAGTAATAAGCAATTTGATATGACATGCAGTATGTATAAGTATTCACTTTCGAGAAACGGCAATGGAACATCAGCTTCATGGGTGGTAGATTTTTTAACGCCATAAGGGGTATTAAAACCCGTTATTTTCCGAGCAATAAAGCATGTTCATCGGTGCTATATAAGTTGTAACACATACTTATTTTTTCATACTTGTCATGTTTATTTTCTAGTGTCCCTGCTTTAAATAAATCGTTGTAATTTCCTTTTGTTTTATTTTATTTATTATACTCATATTTGTAATCATCATTTTTCTTTATTTTTATTCATTTTAGAGAGTTCTTACCATACCATCTTCATTATTTTTTTAATTGTCCCAATTTTGTGCCAATCGCAAGTATGCTTAAATGGCATCTATATTTGTTTACCTCTAGCTAGTTTCAACCGACTTTTTCCTCAATTTTATCTTAATTAAAGACATAATTTTCAAGGCATTTCAACTTTTTCAAGTGCTTTGGGAACCTGATTATCTCTTATAAGAATAAATTGTCGATATGATAGTGAAACTGAAAAAACAGTTGTTATGTTAACGTCTCGAACCACCAAGCTTTTAACAATTGAATTATGCTGGTCCATTTCGTTTACTTACCCATTCATGTAGAATATAAAGGCAGCGTTTCCAAAAGAATGCTGTTTGAAAGACTTGTATGAGAGACGTGCGCTGCAAAAGAACAAAGTGTGTACATGTATGGGACTGTTGGGTACTTAGTTAAAATCACGAGAGAGGTTGCAGAACTGAGACTTTTGTTATCATTTTACAAAGGAGATAGCTTAACATGCCTGGGACTCGAAAACTAGTGTATATATGGAGTTATCCTTGAAGACATTACCTTATTTTTATTGTATGTTATATGGTCCGAGTACCGCCTGTTAATATGGCTGACGCAGAGGTTCTAAGCCTGTCAGAGGAAGACATCGAGTTTAACAACCAAGTTGACGAGAATTCAAACAATAAGTCGTTTGGAAAGAGTGGTGTCAATTATGAAACTGAGAATGAAGTCGTGGATAGTGCAGCTGCTGAAGTCCGGGCAGAGGAACAACGGAAAAGAGACGCAGACCCTCTGTGGTTTTGTAAAATCATCACAAGTTATCCTAAAACGGTGTTCTGTGAGTTTTAATTGCTTAAATATTGTAATGATTTTGATAGTAATATGTTGGCGTTTACGCCTGTGTAGGTTTGTGTTCGCACGCGCGCGCGCGTGTGTGAGAGAGAGGTAGAGAGAGAAAAGGGAGGGGAGAGAGACTTTCGTATAAATCTGTATCTCGTCCTAGTTTTTACCCTCTCTGAGGCTTACGCGCATAACACAATACACTATGTACTGTTGAAAGCCGACGAAGCGATTAATGCTTCTGTAGAACCGATCGATTGCTGAATAATAAAACAGTTTGGTTACATATCGCTACGTCTAGCAACTGCAGGGGGTGCCATAAGTATTGCAACACGTAACCTATCAATATGTAACAGTTAAATTAGCTGCCTTTTTGTATTTTTCTTTTCATTGAAAAAAATCATCCTCGGATAAACCTTATCACAGAAGTAGGCCTACAGAAAAGTCATTTATCTTCACACAGGGATCGTTTGCTTGTCGTCATTAGAATTTTGTGGGATAATCACGTCATGATAAGATGGCCAGGCCTTTTGTTTTCCTTTTACAAGCACAAGATCACCAATTACAAAATATCTAATTAAGTCCCAACCATTATGGAACCATATTGTCTGGTGCGTGAACTGCATGTTTCAGGGACACATTTAGTTTCCAAGTCTTCCATGCCCCCACTTTTCCACTGGTGTTGGAAAGGGTAGAGTTCGACTCACTAGAGAGGACTACTAGTAAATTAAGGGCTTCCATCCGGCAGGTCTGCTGAAGTTTTGTGCAGCATGTAGCCTTCTTTGGGTCGTTGTTTTACTTATGGCAACTGCCAATTATCCTTCCATTGGAATGTTCGTGTTCTGATTGGTTCAGATATTTTCAGTTTCAGAGCATGAATAGGCGTACTATCGTGTCTTGGGCTTGTCTTCTTGGGACAGCAAATACGATGCAATATATAGAGATTGAAAAGACGTATTGCACTGAAAGGCTAGGGGAATACTGCCCAACAGGAACAAAGATATTAAGATGCACTCACGCCTAATATAAACCCTCAGTCTTCATTGAAACATGGAAAATTATAATTTAGTCTATGATTGAAAGCAGTTCTCATAGCACAATAACTTTTGGACTTTGGCACCCGTGTCTATTTTGTATTCAAAATACTAAAAAAATAAAACTATAACAGGAAATTAAAGGGTCGAAAACACTCACTTTGTGAGGAGCTGTCATCTTTTTCGACGCTTTTTAACCCCCCCTCCCCCTCCCCCTCCCCTCCACTGTTCTCC